TTCCCCATGTAGTATTTTTATTCCTGTGACCAATACTTACAATCAGATACTCGTGTAAATAATTATTTCCTCATGGTTCTCTACTGAAGTTACATTCTTTAAAAAAAAAATTCGTTGTCTAGGGATCTTTCAAACAACCGTTTGAAATCTATACCGGAGGACGCCTTCTCAAATCTGAAATTGCTTGCAAAAATGTGAGTTGATGTTCACGTTGTTATTTTTATCATAGCCGTCAGACTTATTCCTATTTGGTTGCGAGCGATCCGGGTCTAGGCTGGGTGCATTACATTTAGGTAGATCTACACCGTTTATTCCATGTCATTTATTTTTCCTTTCAACTGGTTCAGCAATTTCATCATTCAATGCTCTTGGGGTCATTTCTCTCAGCAGACACCTCTAAGGATAAGTTCACTTGTCTTCTTTTGTGCTTCCGACTGGATTTGTCGCTTAGACACTTGCTGTGTCTAATCATGCTTGAGACTTTCACGCATTGCGAATATTTTCAGACACTTTATCGTTATCATTATTACTATTATTGTTATCATTATTATAGATCTCCTTCACAAGCGTGTAAGCCCGTAACAGGAGGTTCAAGCGTTTAGCTGCATTAATTTGTTTTTGATCTTGTTGATTGTCATTCTTTTTCTTATCCTCTCAGCGATCTATCGCGAAACAAGTTAAGGGCAATTCCGAAGAACACTTTCCGAAATCTGACGGCTTTGTCTAACGTGTGAGTACTTGAGAGATTTTTCATTAAGGGGTATTGGAATATTTCAGAAAAAAACTTGGCTCAAGAGATAAAATTTTAAGCGGCAAGATTTTGTTCCTATGCTACTGAAGAAGAATCAGCATCCAATTATACATTTTTCCCTTAAAAAAAAACCCTTAATTTCATTCTGACTTAACGCTAGGCACTTTTGATAACCTTAACGTGTCGCCTTGGGTTCAAACGACACTTCCTGCTCGATCCATATTATCCTTATTATTGTTATTTTTCGTTTGATCTTAGAATTATCAACCAGAACAACCTCAAACGTGGATTTTTCCTTCCTAAAAGCGTATCAAAACTGTAAGTTCTAGTTTTTCAAAGGTTTTTTTATTCTAGGTGACAAATCAGAAGTATGCTCAACAATCCATACAAATTTCATCTCCACCAATCAAAAATACATATGACATAATGACTCATGAATACCGCGTTTTGAGTGACCTATCCCTAAGAAATTGTCTTAAAATGCGCCAAAAACTCAATTATGTTCGCTGTTATATTGAGTCATTCCCAGCAAACCTGGTCATTTACCGATGACGTAAAAAGCAATTCTAGTTCTCTTTTTTACCATCCTCTAGACTCAGATCTGAAGACTTTGCTGTAAAAAGCGCAGTGGCTTGTTAAGGATTTTTGTGTATGGCCAATTTGCTGGGTTGTTTTTCAGGCTCTTTTCAAAATGGTGATCAGGAATCCAAAGAGGAAGAAAATTTGCGAATTTTTAGGTCACTCTCAGCTTTGGAATCTCAGTCGGGGAAAGGTGTAACAGAATAAAAAGTATCAGCATACGTCTCCTTTATGTAACTCGAAAATAAATCATGATGAAGGATTTTATACAAGATTTGCTTTGCATCCAATTTGCTTAATTTTTATCCATATTTTAAAGGAAGCTTATAAGATTTTTTAAGCCAGCCTGAAAATTCAAATTAAGAGTTAAGCCTATACCACGCATTACACATCATTCTGAGTCTGATGTCTCACGTGAATGCGTTGACATGATCAATTTATGTCAAAATCGATGCATGCGCGTTTTCTCTCGTTTTCGTTAAATTGATCAAGATGTAAAGCAAAGACTACTTCTGTCGACCTCGCTAAGAGATTTCCGAACCCTTTTATGAAAATAAACCTTCATCCACTTATTTGTTTACAGACAGATAGATTCCAACGACCTAACGTTAGACGACATGAAAGAGATTTTGCAAAATTCTAAGGATATCACTTTCCTGTAAGTGTGTGCATCTTTTATGGAAAATATACTCATTTTATGAAGCATGAGAAGAGTCTTACTTTTCACTGCGTTAGTAATTGTTGTGGAGTTCAGGTCCGAGTGCAAGCACTCGATTAATTAAAAGTACGTAGGGATATCGGCTAGGCGTTGGAGAAACCTGACAAATTACAAGGGGGCTACCACAAAGTTATCACTCAGTACTCTCTTCTATAAAGCCTGGTTTTCCTACAGCATAAGCTCAAGTGCAAGCACAAACGTTAGGCAAGCATAACAGCTCTTTTTCATCTTGAAAATTACCTCGACGCTAGCATAAACACAAGTGGAAGCAAAAGATCAGATTTTTTCCTTTCTCCCATGCTTTGCACTTTTGTTTGCATCAAAGCCATCATACGAGCTTTCAAGTTTGCACTTGCGCTTGCATCGCGTAGTGAGAACCAGGCTTACGACTGACAGCTCTTCTCTCTGGTCACTAATCTTTGCAAGGCAGGTAGTTCAGACGTTAATATGATTAATATCATCTAGCTTCACTTGAGTCCAATATTTAAACAAGATGAAAGACTTATTGTTAGGCTAATTGCTATTGTTTACATATTATTAAATCCTCGCAGAAGCATTTCAGAAAATCCCCTTGGACCTAACTTAACTGCAGACATTTTCGCTGGTTTTGACAGGATCATGTATTTGTAAGAACCGTAATTGTAACATGTTAATAAGATTCATGTAAGATTTATCTCAATAATTATGGCACCTTTTCAAAGTTTCCACTTTGCCCCAAGTAGTACTACTACAGTTTTTGTTCTTTAAAACCTTTGTTATTTCAGTTTCCAATTCAGTCTTTCCTTGTTTACCATGCGTGTTTTTTTGGCGTGAGATCGCTGGTGATAACAATCAGCAAATCCTGACAGCTGAACATTTCACACAATAATGATGATCCCGTCAAATTTTTAAACTCCTTTCTGATTTTAACGTCATCTACGCCTTCGTCGACGTCGTCATCATTGAAAACCAGGCGCGTAGGCAGCTATTCGACTTGTTGTAGACCTGTTTCCAAAGAAACCGAGATTTTTGTAATTCTAATTCACTTGAGATGCAGATCACCATCTACACCTCAAGTGACTACATCGTGATACAGTCGATTAAACAGTTTATTATTACTTATCACCACGATGAGCAATAACCTCTTTTATGATAGTTTGTTATTCTTTACCGCAGAAATATTCGATTGGCAAATTTGACAAAAATTGCTGATGGAGCGTTCAACTCTTTAAGTAAACTCAATGACTTGTAAGTCCCTGTTTTTATGTTGTAAGTAGAAGTTGGCATGTTTTCTTGCTTTCAGAATTGCTCTTGTTTTTATCCTTCTTGACAAAAAACAATCCCTCATGAACGAAAACTATCACACGAATATGTACCTGCTGCACTAACCTCCTCGTTCCTTAATAATTTCATTAAACCGTGCCGATTCCTATCCAGCTTTTTAGCTTTTTTTTGTAACAATAACGTGTACATGTTCCCTGTTACCTTTCTATTTCGTGCCCCGTGGCACAAAACGCGTCCACTTGCAGAGGCCTTCGCTAGATGTGCATGACTGTGCAACGACTTTTGACTCTTATTTTTGAATACCCCAGGCGATTAGATGACAACAAGTTAACATCTGTACCCGACTTGACTGGCCTTAAGACGGTGGAGCTAATGTAAGTTTCTATTACTCAAATAGTGGGTTACTTCTCGTGTTGTTATTTTATCTTGCTTCACTTTATCGAAAATCTTTCAAAAGGCTTGAAGTGTAATCTTGTAAACATTGAGCCATTTTCTACTCCAAAAGTAAAAACTAAATTTGCTTAACGCAAACTGCACTTTTACTTTTTAGTTTTCCATCAACTATTCAAAGCCAATTGTAAAATAATTTCTTTTCAATTTCCATGCTAATTTCGATTTCTTCAGGAGGATTTAACCTTTAACGCTTCAAACTCCTACCGACTATTTGCTCGCATTTTGGACACATACGATATACACTGTATCCTGAGAATTAAGTGGAAATTGGCTCACACGATTCCGTGGAGCAATACATATATTTTGCAGGTGATAAAAAACCACAAAATGTAAAAAATGATGTTTCGTCAGGAAAATGTTTCATATCAATTTTTTTTCTTATCTAAGTTGTAAAAAAATTTAGTTAGCATGAGTCCATTAAAGAGGAGAAAACACGAAAGAAAAAAAAATTACCTCAAGTTTAAGTATGCATCATAACGCATGATTTATAATGGTAATTGAACTGAGTGGAGTGCAATTTGGGTTGAAATCATACGCGTGATTTCAAAATCGAACGAGCGCGCAGAGCGAGTTCGATTTGAAATCACAAGTATGATTTCAGACCAAAATTGCACGACACGAGGTTCAATTACCACTTTATTACATCCATTTTGAAATCACCCAAATACAGGACTTGGTCAATTCGAATATTTTATTGATGCAGTACTGAGCCGGTTTTTAAATAATAAGCGGAACCGGAAATGCTTTTACATCTCATTTTGTATGCAAAACAGAAAGACTTTGACGTCATGTGTCAAAAACTCAGTCAAGCGTATCAAAAGAAAGACAACTTTCATTCAAGAAATTCGAGAAGTCCTCAATAACTCAGAACTGGCTGTCTCTAGAGAAGAAATTGAAGGTGCAGCCTGTGTAATTCTGCGATGGAACGGGAGCAGCACAACTGAAGGCTTCCATGCGGTACTGAGACTGCAACGGAAAACGTGTTGGAAATCCTGAAAATTCAGCCGGCTGAAAACCAGGATTGGAGCCCATGGCCTGATGCATTTGGCCTTGTTGTTGGACCTGATAAATAGGAACCAGAGGTGTTCGTTTATGTTGGACTGCAATCTCTTGATTTGAGGCTTCATTTGCAGTGTTTTGGCGGGAGACTTCGTTTGCTTGATGATCATTTGACACTTCTTTATATCCACTGATAATGTGAGACAGTTCTTTCCTGTGATTCTCGTCTATTTCATCTTAGTCGTCTAACGAAGATTCACGTGCATGGCCGGTTATTTCACAGATAACATTGCGCGGTTGACCAGACTTCTTCAGTTTTGATACCAATGTTTTCCTCATGCTGTGGTTCGTCAGCTTCTTATTCGTCCTGAGACAGGAGGCCATGGATTTCATTAAATTGCCGATGGTGTTTTGTCCCATTCGAACTTTGGTGTACCAAACATCTGCTGATTTAGGACTATTTATGATTCTAAGATAGAGTGGCCCTGTGTTCTTCATTCCTTCGGGTCGCTTGGACAACCAAAGCTTGAATAGCCGCACTGGATCGCTTTTTCCGCCATCGGTGCTGAACATTGCCTGTGGTGTTGTTCTTCGCCTGATGGTGAGACCACCGCTCCGCGTTTTAGTGGGACCTTCCCTGAACTCAACAACTTTAGTTCCATCTTCTCGCTGTCTTATAATTACGTCTTCCACGTATGCATCGTAGTGTTCTTGGCGACCACGAAATCCCAGTTGTTCTGTCAAATTTTTGAAGTTGACATTGGTCAATACCTTTCCATTAAAATCACCCAACTGACCTTTTTCCCACAGGGCTGACTCTTCTTCAGGTGTGATTGGCTGAGATTTGTTGGGTCTCTTTCCCTTTCCTTGTTGACGTAGGGAAATTGCTTTCGCATTGAGGATTTCTTGTGAGGAGTGAAACTCTCTCGATCGCACGATGCTCAATGGATAGTTCTTCTCCTTTAGATACCGTTCAATGGCACTCTGCATGATTTTAAGGGATTCTGGCTCGTAGTCATCTCCGTCCTTTTTTTTCACCTCGGCGTAAAACTTACTCAAGACCTTGTCAAGTTTTTCAGGCGCCATTGTTTCGATGGAGACATATTCAAGATGGCAGCATTGACACCAGCTTCTGAAAACATTCATCCATTGTTTTGTGGAGCGGGACGTATTTTTATTTGAAGCGACAGACTTAAGCTCCTGTATTTCATCGCTTGAAATGATAGGAAATCTTGAAACATCTTACTCTTGTGGTGGCTTTTGATTTTCTTCGTTTGTTGCTCACTCGGTGGACTCGGGATTGTGCGGATTTTGAGCTCGAGAGGGTAGAAAATCGTCAAAATATTCACCAAAATGTACACGAAAAGTGGGAAAGTCCCTGGAATGTTGGTCTTCAGCCTGAAGGATCTCATTGTCATCATTCAAAAACTGGAAAAAATTAAATTCATCCATTTTTGGGGGGGGGAAAAATAAGAGTTATGGAAACAAAAGTTGCAAAATTTGCGAAATGATACTCTTTGTCCTTCATTTTCCTGCAATTTGATTGGTTACTTTAAACAAGCCTTGAAATCTGATTGGTTGTTTTGTTTTAAGTGTAACTTCCTCATTGGCTGGAAAAAAGATGCGATTTAGAGCAAAAAATGGTGCGATTCGTGAATAAATCGCACCAATTAGAGCCAATCAGATCACAGGGACCACCAGTGATTTCAAAATGGATGTAATAAAACCTTTAAGAGAGTGTCTCTGTAAGAGCGGTCCGGTCGATTTTGCTTGAGACACGGATTTCGCTCGTTTCTTGTGTGTTGTAAGACATTCATGTACCTTTACTAAAACCACAATCAGTTTGATCACATCTCTTTATTTTTCAGAGTTTTACGGAAATTAAATTTCACTCGAGCAAAGGCTTGTCGTGACACTTTTCAAGACTTTAATTTCATACAACTTTGGAGGACAATTTACAAAAAACTGCGGAACTCAGCAAAAAACAAATACCACAGCCATGTATATTAACTCTATCTTATCTATCGAGGCGACTTTCGCAAACACCACGTTTCAATCAAGGAAACAGGAAGACTTGAATGACACCTTATCGGTTCGCCTAAATCACACACGCCAAAACCGATCAAATTCAAGGTAAATTTTTGAAAAAGTGAGACGTTCTAAACTGATCCAACTAACATAGAAAAGGTAACTACACAAGCACGGTGATCAGGAATCGATCGGTATGTTTACCTCATAAACGTGACCGCTGACCAGCCGCTAAGTGAAAACAGTATAGCGCGGGGTGGGGTGGGTGGCGGGCTTATCGTCATAAGATCTTCGAATACATGCTTAAAAAGCTCTAGGACTATCAGTCTAAACGGTGAAGGTATGCTTCGTGGTACTGACAACTTTCATTTTATTCTCATAACTTTCTCCTTTAAATTATAGCTGGTATTAATTAATAGAGTTATCAATATATTTTTAACCGGGTTACCCATATAACCTTTTTGCCTGTCATCAGTGGTATAAAATAAGGTGTATTATTGATTATCAACCAAGCAACATTGTACATATTTCCATCTGCAATTAAAAGCACTTACACATAGATCTATGTTTTTTCAACGTGATGTGTACTTAAGTACCCTTCATCTAATAAAGAATTTCTTCTCTTTTCGAGCAGATATGTCACGTGACAAAAATATATAACAGAAAATGTTTCTAAAGACTACCTGATTCAACTGGAATAAAAACTCCACACAGCTTTTGAATGTCCTGAGACATATGCAAGGTAATTACATCTCTGCCTTGGATACGCTTCCCGACACCATCATGATCAGGATACTGACATGTTACCTTTGCACTTCTCCAAAACTTCCCCAAAGTGTGGCGATACCTATAGCAAATCCACATTTTTTGTGTTTATCCTCCTGAGCGAGGTGAAATAGGCCAATCCTTGCCAAGATTAGCTCATTTTCACTTAAGACCTCTTTAGACAGGTAGCAGCTTATCAAATGATGTTTTACTTCGTCATTGCATTCAGACAGTCGTACCAAACCACTTAAGCCACGCGATCAACCAAAGTTTTTTCCATCTTTGCTATTCAAAAAGCAGTCCTGAGACATAATGAACGTCTCGCTAACGAACGACTTCTTCCTGTACTTGTAATTGTTTCCAACGCGATACAAGTTCGGGAGATCTAAAGGAACTCACTATAACTTTGTATACTCGATACGATTTCAATTTCCGCGTCAAAGGAGAAGCCTACTGTGGTCAGTGGTTACGCTCGTGAGGTAAAGAATGGGTTTATGACTTTCCCACTCAATTGAAAGACTCGCGTCACTCTTATGAAATGGTTGAACGGAATACAGACTTCGAGCAGTCTCTTATTTTTCTTAAAGATAGTGAGGTCACGCGTATCCTGTGAGCATGGAGAAGGCGCGAGACGCGAGACTCGTGTCTCGCGTCTTTGCCGCTCCACGCTCTCAGAGTTGGGCGAAGACAAGACACGTTATTTCTGGTGCGATACAAGAGGTTCAATGGTTATCTCGATTATCTAAACACATTTATTTACGTGGTAAAGATTTGTTTGTAAATCTATGAATTGATGCTAGCCCTATTTGGAACGAAATGTATTTGAAAGAAAAAAAGAATACTAAGCAAAACAAAAGTTGTCTGCAACACGAAGCATGCTTTCACATTAAGACTGACAGACCTAATGTTTATCATGATAATTTAATGCACATGTTCGAATGTTCCCAAAAATCTTCTGATAATCTGCCCGCACCCACCCCTCACCCCGCCCTCACCACTGAACCATACTGTCTTCACCCAGCGGCTGGTCAGCGATCACGTTTATGAGGTAAACATACCGATCGATTCCTGATCACCGTGCTTGTCGATCGGAAAATCAAAATACCAGCGTGATATTGCCGCGAAGATGAAGCAGTTGTGTTATTTGATTCGTACTTCACATTCGAGTCGAAGCTTGGGTGGCACAGGTTATTTCTTACGGTGGAATGGACGAAGGGAATTCGAACACTAGTCGTAGTGTTTGAATTGTTGGAAGAAATGGTCGCGCGGGAATGGTAAGTTTAACGAACACTTTCAAATTTTGCCGCTTGAATTGAAAGTAAAGTTCATTGGAATTGCTTTCGTGTGTATTTCTGACGGTTTTAGATCTACCAGCTTGATTTATATCGGTTACGCTTCATGTTGACAATTCCCTCAAAATGATGGCCAAACTTGTAGATTACCGAAAATTAGGTAGGTTCACGGAGTTATAAAGTTCTCGTAAAGGTCGGGCCGCAAAGTTTTTTTCTGTAGTTACCTTTTCTATGTTAGTTGGATCAGTTTAGAACGTCTCACTTTTTCAAAAATTTACCTTGAATTTGATCGGTTTTGGCGTGTGTGATTTAGGCGAACCGATAAGGTGTCATTCAAGTCTTCCTGTTTCCTTGATTGAAACGTGGTGTTTGCGAAAGTCGCCTCGATAGATAAGATAGAGTTAATATACATGGCTGTGGTATTTGTTTTTTGCTGAGTTCCGCAGTTTTTTGTAAATTGTCCTCCAAAGTTGTATGAAATTAAAGTCTTGAAAAGTGTCACGACAAGCCTTCAATCGAGTGAAATTTAATTTCCGTAAAACTCCGAAAAGTAAAGAGATGTGATCAAACTGATTGTTGTTTTAGTATAGGTAAACGAATGTCTTACAACACACAAGAAACGAGCGAAATCCGTGTCTCAAGCAAAATCGACCGGACCGCTCTTACAGAGACACTCTCTTAATTTCTAATAACCGATTGTTAATTCTCCCCTCTTGCTACTACACATTGCCTTGTTAATTAGTTATGAGAATTTGGTGTTAGAACGAGATAACATCTTCTGCCTGATTAATTTGTGTATTCTTATTACCTGTTTGTTGAATAATGTATGGATATTTTAGGGAGAAGTTACATGTTGATCACTTCTGGGAATTTGGGTTAACACCTTTGTATCGCAAATTTTCTATTACATGCAAAGTTTTTTGAATTAAAAACTGAGCAACATTGGAGAATTCCTTCTCTCGATTCCTCTGTCCAATCACGAAACAAACGTTTTGGTGATAACGTTATTAGTGTCGTACCATGCAGTTCTAATTGAGTGAGCTACATTTTGGATTTTTTATTAATGAAACTGAACTTTTTGAATTCATTCATTTGTTTATTAATGTTAAAAAAAATTCTGCTAATCTCACTTCTTTTAACTATTTCCAGGCACTTGGGAAATAATCGAATAAGCAACATATCAAGCCTTGCAACGTCAAGAATCAACTGTGTGAGGGAAATGTAAGCAATATGCATTTTAAAAAGAAAATTCCCCTTGCAAATTGATTCCTATTTTTAGGGGTGATTCGAATTCCTCAATAGACTTTTTCGTCAGTACGGATGGCAGGCTGGGAGGCTTGAGTGCATTCACATTTACCTATATGCGCATTGTCTCTCTAGGTCTCTGAGGGAAAATCAGATCGAGCAGCTACCAGCCGAGGTGTTCCAGAATTTGAATGTACTGTACGCTTTGTAAGTTGTGTTTGATTGGATACTGTGACTTACTGATTTCATACTTCACTCATCTACGGCTTCGTTTGCGATTGATTGCCTAATATCTGCTATACTTACGTATACAGAGATTTGTCCTTCAACAATAAGCTCTCGTCCATACCAGATGGTGCGTTTTCTGGCCTCAAGCAATTGAAAGTATTGTAAGAGAAAATTTATTTTCAAACATGTAACCTGTTTGTAAATAGAATAAGAGAGATGGTAAGTTTTAAGCTCGGTAAAGAAGTAGAGAAAGATGTTTTACGTCTTCAGTTGTCATGAGACTGGGACAAAGAAAAAATTCTGGGTCCCCATGAGATTCGATTCCTCATGGGGACTCAGAAAACACGAAAAACGTCTTACTCCATTCAACCTGCTTTTATCAAAACTTACTTGGTAACCCTAAAACATGCTAATTAGATAACTATTATTTGAAAACTCTTTATATTGAGATCAAATCTGCCTTTTCTTCTCCTTTGTTTTTTGTTTTGAAACAGTTAGAGCACAAAATAAAAAAAGGCGTACTCTGAACATCAATGTCATTTTCCTTTAATTAGGTTTCTGCACTTCAGCAACATCTCAAAAATTAGCAGCCTTACCTTTGCTGGGCTTAGAAATCTGAGGTTGCTGTAAGTAATCTTTTCTCTTTAAGTAAACACGAAGAAATTTGAATTTTTAGTGTATTATATGAAACGTTTAGAAATCAATTTTAAGATACTGTACCTAACAAAACATACAGAAACAGCAAAAAGAAACGTTTACTCTAAAATAGCGCGGAAGAACTAATTAATACAGAACATTACTGGAGCCCTTACTCCTAATCTCTGTGAGTGAGAGAGAGAGAGAGAAAGAAAGAAGAGCGTAAGAATGGTTTAACAGAAAGCTTGAAGCGTCCGTCTTGTTTTTTTTTTTTAAGGATGCTTGTCAACAACAGTCTGGCTTCTCTTCCTGAAAAGGCTTTTGCTGAAATGTCTTTGAGCTTTTTGTAAGTAACTTGAAATCTACGAATTATTTGCAAATTCTAAGGTGTCACATGGAGATCATTAATATATGTAGATTACTTACGAGATTACTTACGAGTTTGATTCTCTGTTTATTGTTATCTGTAGGTTTTTACATGGAAACCGAATCAAAAACATTGATGCGAATGCTTTTCGCGGCCTCACTGATCTGCGTTTGGTGTAAGTTGTATTGAATAGAAGTAAACTGATATGCTTTTCTTTCAGCTTCGCACATAGTTCTAAAGTATTTAGCATTTTAAACAAGTTCAATGTCGATCAATTTGTAGTTGGTTTGTCTAAATCAGTATCACAATCTTGATGATTTTATGTCAAGTTTCCCCTTGGCTTTTTTTTGTACGGGATGGCATCAAATGTATTCTGCGTGAGGGAAATTGCCATTTTAAAGCAATTCATTCTTAATCATATAATAATCCTATCATATAAACAAATTAACTTCTTGAATTCTAGGACGCTATTTGAAAATCCCGCCTTAATGTCACTTCCAAGAAATGTATTCAATGGACTGACTGAAAATGTTACTTTGTAAGTATAGATAGTTCTTAATCTACTTACTATGATACATTTCTTCAAGGCCCTTTTGCATTCAATAAATATGAACTTTGAGTCATTAATACAATTACATACCCACTGTTCCTCATTGTAGTTGCTTGGATAAAGATTTTTATTTGAGATATTTGACAATTTGTAATTCAAGTTGGTTATACCTTTCGAGAGAGACATCTTGTCTTTTTAAGATTACCGAAACCTCTGGTGATGCCAACTAACTTGAAGGTGTTTAACCATGCAGTGATAAATAACAAACTGCACAATAATTTTTTTCTTGACTGATCCTGATCTTCGTGCACGGTTGTGACCAAATGAGCCACCTCATTTGAACCTACTAAAAAAAATCGATCAAAGAGGATGATTCTAACACCTCGAACAAAGATACCTTCGAGACACTCCAGATTCGAAAGTCTAAATGGACTCCCCAAGAGGGCCAGTTCTCATCTTTAGATTTTTTCCTCAAAAAATGTCGCCATGATATCAACAAACTTAAATTCAATCGTTACACCAAATTTTCCAATCTTTCTTTGGAAGGGTGGTCGGCATTAAAAAGTCTAAAAAAACGCAAAGACATTGTCATTAAGGCGGCCGACAAAGGCGGTGCAGTTGTTGTTTGGCGGGCCGACCTCTACCAAAAAGAAGCTTTGTGGCAACTTTCTGACACCTCCTTTTATGCTCAAGTCGACAAAGATCTCACTTTAATTAACCAAAACATTGTCAAAAATACGATTAACGATCCTATAGCTAAACAAGAATTGCCGGCCACTGCTAAAAATCTCATCATTACCACTCTTAGAACTTCGTGTATTTACTTTTTACCTAAAATCCACAAACCTAACAACCCAGATCGACCCATTGTTTCTGCCTGCAGTTGTCCCACCGAACTTATTTCCAGCTATTTAGACAAAATTATGGCACCTATCGTCAAAACTTTACCGTCTTACATTAAGGACAGCCAACACGCACTTGAAATTTTTCGTGACTTTAGTTTCCTCGACCAAAACAAACTTATTTTCACCATGGATATAACATCTCTTTACACTGTCATTCCCAATGACGAAGGTCTCCGGGCCCTCAAACATTTTTTCGATCAACGCACTGTTAAGGAACCTAGCTCTGAAACACTAGGCCGAACTAGTACTCACACTCAATTGCTTTTCATTCGGTGGTAACTACTACAAACAAACTAATGGCGTGGCCATGGGTACTAAAATGGGACCCAGCTACGCCAATCTTTTTGTAGGTTTTATCGAACATCAATTTTTTAGCCAATACCACGGCCCAAAACCTGAACTCTACAGCCGCTACATTGACGATTGCATCGGCGCTACCTCCTCTACCAAAGAGGACCTCACTCAATTTATAACCGCCGTCAATTCCTTTCATCCGGCTCTTAAATATACCTGGGAAATTTTCGACACTTCTTTGGCTTTTCTAGACATCAAAATTACAATTGAAGGCAACGGCTTATGTACTAGTGTTTACTACAAACCTACAGATTCACATAGTTACTTGTTGTATTCATCCTCACATCCATCACACGTCAAGAACTCCATACCTTTTTCACAGTTTCTCAGACTTCGTCGTTTATGTAGTGACGACTCTGATTTTTCCGAAAAATCAGAGGCAATGTGCCAGTTTTTCGATAAACGTGGCTATCCTGTTTCTGTCGTTCAAGCGGGCTACCACCGTGCCCAACAAATCGATCGACAGGCAGCACTACAAACGGCCGAGAAGGAAAACACTGACCGCATTCCATTTACTCTTACATTTCACCCTCACAACCACGCAGTTAAATCTATCATTCTTAAAAATTTTAAATTACTCCAAAACGATTCAGAGACTGGCACTATCTTTTCGCAACCCCCACTTATTTCATTCAAACGTGACAAAAACATAGGAAACTTTTTAGTCAGGAGTTCATTTCAAACCAATGACCAATCTGGAACTTTTAAATGCGCTCGCTCACGATGCAAAACTTGTCCTTTCATTCACAACGTAGAGAAAATATCGGGACCTAAAAGATCCATTAAGATCATTGATCACTTTACGTGTACCTCCGCCAATGTTATTTACTGCATAACTTGCACTTATTGCAATAAGTTATACATCGGCGAAACAGGAAGACGACTGGGTGACCGATTCCGAGAACACCTTCGCGATGTGGAAAGAAATGACAAGGACGCATCCAAACCAGTCGCTAGACACTTTAATCTTCCTAATCATTCTAAACAGCATATGGCAGTTTGCGGCCTTTCCTTACATCTAAGCAGTTCGGAAAGCCGTAAAACACTAGAACAAAAATTTATATTCCAAATCGGCACCCTTAATCCCCACGGAATCAACGAGCGCTTTTCATTCAACTAATTTATTCCTGTTTTCTCGTCACCACATTCCCACCAATGGCGTAGCCCCACTTTCTGCATATAAATCCACACACAACCCACAATTCCTCTAATCGCTCTGACGAAGGGCTAACGCTCGAAACGTCAGCTTTTTTACCCTTTACGGTGGCTAATTTACGTTTTCAACCCAGTTGTTAACACTAAATTACCTGCTATACTCTCCCACCGACGCAGCACCACAGTTTCTTTAGAAACTTACCCCTTTACTAATTGTCAATTTACTTAAGCATACCTCAAACTTCATCGTAAAGTTAAAAGGTTTGAACTTCTTTTTAGGGTTGTCTCCTGCAAAACTCTCAAAGAGCTTCCTCGAGGGATAAACGAAGCAAGGGTGTAAGTAAAAGGTCATATAGAGCCGTTTTGGTTGTAATTCAGGATCGCTCGGGTTTTGCTGTAAAACTCAGATTAAAAATAACGATTGATTAACCTTGGCTTGATAATGTATATCAACAAAGAAAAGAAGTTAGTCATCGTTACTGTGAATTTGCAGTTTTTAACCAAAGTTTTAAAAACATTACAGATCAGTCATTTTTTGCTACCTCGAGGTCATTTACATATAGGGTGCTCAAGTATATTATCTTCGGTTTGTTCTACTTTATCAGATGCAGTAAAACCCAACTGTGATGTGATGTGCTGTCTTATGCTATAATGTATCATGTTTGAACTTTCATTAATGATTTGTCATATTCAGTATCTTTTGGTCTGGTTTGGTGTGAGTCTCAATCCAGGCCATTTAATTTGCCTTATATATAAGCTTTGTGGAACTCTTTAACCTTGAATCACAGTGAATTGTTGCGCCAGCTTTTCACCCTTTTGGTTTTATTAACAAGTTTTCGGTTTTAATTTCTTTCATCAGTGTATGTGCTCCAACAGAATCTTTGTTTGTAATCGTCTATTCCCGGGAACGCCGCTATCAGCTGGATGGTCTTCTAGCATCAGGCTTTATGTGTTCTAAACGGAGTAAGAGGGGCTATTACAGATGCCTTAATTGTAGCCTTTGCTCGACGGGCACCTACAGCAGCCGTGATAGAGCGAAGACACATTGCTTGAAGTGCCCTGCTGGTAAATACGATGCTTTACATATTACAATTTGTTTTTGGAGACATTTACGTTTAGCTAAAAACCATAAAATGAGTGTCTGATCTCAATGGATGGAGTGTCGCTCCCAAATGTTTTATTTTTAGGAGGCTTTTACCAAGACGAAATGGGCCAAATTGACTGTAAGAACTGCTCCATTGGCACTTATGTTCCTGAGATTAACTACCCTGGAAAATCCGCGACTGACTGTCGTGCATGCCCTTACGGTAAGAGAAAATAATGAGTGAAATTGAGTTTTGAAAAATTGAGGCCTTGAGAATTATAGAAAACTAGACTTTTTGTTACCACTGTTTATCAAACAGGTACCCAATCTGACAAACCTGCTGGTTATCGTGCATGCAGTTGTCTCCCACATTTCTTCCGCCTAGATCGTTTTGGTCCTTGTTCAGCATGTGAAGAGCATGGAATGGTATGTCAGTCAGATACAGCAATTTTGGCGCCAAAGTACTTTTGGAAATTTAACAGCTCAGAACAAATGAACCATTACAAAGAATTTGTTCTTAACATTCAAATCTTCAATGCTGAATATAACCGTGACTTTTCCAGTTATCGCGCTTTGTTACCAACCCCTATCAAATGCCCCTTTACAGATTCGTGCAATGGTGGTATTGAATCATCGTGTACAGAAGGATACGAGGGTACCCTCTGCGCAACTTGCTCCTCAAATCACTTTCTCCGTTTCAACAGATGCTTAGAGTGTCCTAGCATGTTGGTAACAGTAATTTCCTGTGTTTTGGTCATCGTGGTGTTTATTTTTCTGTTTTTACTTATATTCTGGGGCGACTCAAACGCTGCAAATGGCGAACGTGGAGGTACTGCGGCAGATGTGGTAATGTCTTGTGTAAAAATCGTGGTTGGCTTTTATCAAGTGGCCTCCGGTATTTTCTCAGCGTTACTGCATGTTCAGTGGCCTGTAGTTCTTGTGTCTATGGAAAAATACCTGAAGTTTGTCGAAGGGAACATCTTGCAGTTCGCACCATTGAGCTGCATTGACCCAGTGTTTCGACTGGATCCATTCATGCAATTTTGTCTTTCTATCTCTATCAATATCTCAGTAGTTTTGTTAATACTGATCTACTTATTACTTAAGAGACAATACATCAAAAAGTTGGAGATTTCTGACCGCCAAAAAAGGGATGAAATTTTACATTTGAAAAAGTCATGCTACCGAAACATATTCCTATTTCTTCTGTTGTCTTACCCAATAACGAGCAAGAAAATTATCAATGTTATTCTGCCCCTGCCAGGAGTCTGTGAGGATGTGTGTTTCACCAAAGATGGCAGTGACTGCATTTCTCTCCTGAAAGCTGATTATTCCATTTCCTGCCTCAGCCCAGCAAATGGTGTGTACTGGAAACTAGCAGCCGCATGCGCAATATATCCTCTCCTCTTTCCTTTACTGCTTCTTATTCCTCTTTACAAGTACCGTGAGCCTCGTCTCGATGATGAAATTTGTTTTGGTCTTAAAGTTTTCTTTGAAAACTATGAAGAGAAATTTTGGTTCTGGGAGATAATTGAGATGTATCGGAAACTGATCCTCATCTCAGGCATCCTTCTCTTTGACTCCAAAAGCCAATATCAAATTGGCTGTGCCGTAATTGTTGCAAGTGTATCAGGAATTACTTACACCATGGCCCGACCCATAAAAGGCAAATTCGAGGATCGATTACAAGCCTTTGTGCTTTGGACAACATTCTTCAATGTCTGCCTCGGTGCAATAACCATGTGCCAAAATCCAACAGAAAACGAGTCCATTTTTGTGAATGTCATATTTGTGCTTCTGAACAGCGCCGTGGTGTTAATTGCTGTAGGTAAGTTTTATTTGCCTACGATAAGCAATGACCGATTTTGCTAATGCTGGGATCAGAATGAACGCTGGAACTGGGCAACCTAGTACCAGATCCTTGATGGCCAAGGTGATCATTGATCTCCGTGAGAATGTGTAAGTCCCCCTCATGGAAAGAAAAAAAGGTTGGCAAACATACAGCTTGCGACGCTTTCTTGGCTCTGTTTCTCTCGCATGACAACAACAAATATCAAAGCCACGCGAAACAACATGCCCCTTGAGGGACCTGGTACAGGATTGTCTAAACCTAACATTTATTGGGACCCTGTATTAGCAAAGTCGTGTATTGCTTAACCGCACTGAATTTATATTGTATGGCTTGGACTTACGGCCGCTAAGCAAGCTGAGGAAAAAAGAGAGCCATCACTCTCCCAGATTGTACAATTTGGGAACAGGACCTCACTTTGAGGTTTTCCAAGACCGACCTCTTTCTCCCCTATTAAGAAGTTATTTAAAAGTTGAGCCATACAAAGCTGGCGAGGGGTGTGTAAGCCAGATAATCTGCGTTGTATTACATCTAAGTTATCTCATTCCCTTCTTTGATTTTTACATTTGTCTTGACAACCTTTGAGCTACAGTTAGTCATATGTCTATAAAAGGTTCCGGAGTCATTAAATAACTATCTAACTGTTTGGCGCATTCGGAAAAAGAAAAAATCTAAACATTATGGGATTTTGTTGAGAAAATTCTGCATAATTTCGTGTCATTTTTTTTTCTTCAACAGTTAAAGGCCTCCGTTACTTAAAGTCTAACTGGAGAAGGTTCTCCTCTTGCCCGGTGCGATTTTTCTGGAAGATGTGTGGCAGATGTCGCGATGGTCATAGGAACAGACGGAGTGATTTGTCCCTAATACAACCACTGACAGAGGAACCATTAGTTTTCGATGAATAAAAAACTTTATTGTTTTGGCTTCACTATGGTATTTTGGTGCGGCAAAGAGAGTACACAGGGATCTCTCATTTTGTTGCTTAGCTGTACCCCCAGCCTAAGTCTGCTGCTTTGCATAGCTACTACGCTGACAAAAAAAAATCATCTATTTCGCTTCAATTGCATCTGTTGTTCGTCAAATGTTTTCGAAGTGCAGGTAACAAAGAAAGGTTAGGAAAGTTCAAAGAAATATTTTGCAATGCAAAATAGTTCACGAACAGTGTTATGCTTTGCTTCTTTTCTACGTGTATTTGATTATTTCTTTTTCATTTTTAATTGTATCACAGAAGCGTTGAGCAGGAATTTAAGATGTCACTATATAATTACTGGACCTTCGTTTTGCATACCCCACCCATAAGGCCGGGAAGTTAAATATATTTAAACATCTGAAAGGCTTATTTACTAATCGATAAAATTTTTACCTATAGTACATTGGCCACATATACTCCAACACTCAATTGACCCATCTTTTCTTGGGAAAATTGGTTTACAACACTACTACGCCCTCGAGGCAAAACTAAAAAGCCTGGTTTTCATTGAAGAAACGGATCGAGACGATAATTTCTCCCTAGTTAGCGATGATAAAAAAAAAACATTAATATAGATGCGTCAATAGTTATTTTACTTGTCCCAATTCCTCTTAAAGTAAATGCTTTGTCTTGAAGAATCGTAACAATGATTGCGGCGGATATTAATATTTAGAATACCATATGATTTACCCATACGATATGAACTTGATCATAATGTGATCTGGTGAAATTAAGTTAAAGCAAGTAATGTTTGGTAAATTTAAAAGGAAGAAGGAAAATAAAAATTTTGCATGCGCGGAGTTTCAATGTACACATATTGCGTGAAAAATTTTAACCTAAGAAAACATGGGGGGAAGTAAGTTGGATTCTTTACTTTAAGGATCATCAAGAGAGGATAAATTTTGGGGGAACACATCATTTTCGGAGGGAACGGAGTGGCATTAGTCGTCACCAACAGAGTATACAGGGGGGGAGTTAAAAAAAAAATCTACTGCCAATGAGGGGGGATCAGTTAAAAATGTTTCAGAGCCATATGGGGAGATCAGGTAAATTTTATTGAGACACAGTCAAAACTCATGATTTAACATTGAACGGATCAAAATGTCTCTACACCGAGAATTTTTAACTACCAATTTGTTCATCAACATAAAAAAATATATACCTTGGTCTTCAGGATTTAAATTCCTTACACATGGGGCATGGCGCTCTAGATCTCTTGTGGTCTTTGATGTCGGGTTTGAGTTAATAATTGTAAGTCATTCTATAGTCTATCTTTTCATTTATGAGCGTGAAAAAAAATCGGATCGGAACGGGCCACCAAAAACGATCGAGTCTTTTGAAGGCTTTCATGTCCGTTATGGTTGACCCTATCCATTCAGTGACAGAAAATGTACTCTGTTGAATATCTGTTTGATGTTATGCCATCCGTTAGTTTGCTAAATATCTTTTGAGAGCGCTTTCATTCCGAAAGAATCTCTCTACTGGAGGGTCAGTTTTGTCACTAATAATTTTGCCAGTGGAATTCTTCTGTCGTGTCAGATAACTTCAACCTTTTTCCCCCTCGATAGAGCGTGCAGGTAGTTTCGAACAATAAAATGCCCTGAAAAAACAGTAGCCACCAATAGTGGAGCACATGCAGCTATGACCAGCTAGGCTCTCTTTGTCGATCAATTTATTTATCAATTGAGCGATGGAACCTCAAAAAATAATAAAAAGGAAAAAGGAATTGGGTTGATTAAGCTCTCAATTACTCATCTAATTTTTGATTGTTTTTATTTATAAACTACATGTAGTGTCCAAGTTTTTTTTTGTATCGAAATCTGGCCAGTGAATTTTATGTTCTCATGTTTAATCTTTTGGCGCTCTCAGTCCAAACATTATAAATGAGTCGAGTCCATCAATCTGTTCATCTTATCTGTTAAATCATATTGACTTTTGGTGCAAGTTAATGGCGGTAAACACGATGAGGAAAGGTTAAAAAAAAAAAAACGTTATACACTGTAACGCCAAAGCGGCCATTACTCTGCAATATGGTCTTCCTCCCCCAAGATTGGCTCCAGGACCTCATAATCGGGGTCTCTTTTGCGTCGACAGCCATGTATCATATGGAGAAGACCTTTTCCTGAAAGGAAAAGAAACGTCACATAGCGGATTAACTTTCCATACGGAAAAGTTACAGAAAAGCAAACTAAATAGTAGTGGACAGTAGTACTTTGTAGCAGTAATTTGAAGTAGTAGTTCTACAAATATTGTATCAGGAAGTGTTCTTGGCTTCCAGCGATGGAAAAACGTGTAATCCTTCAGTGAAGGTCGGAAGAGATAACGGATAACAATAATCAAAATTTCCTAGCATGTTCATACATTTGGCTCACTGCTAATCAAGTTTAACAAACTTTGACCAGGTTTTTGTAATTTAATGTGTTAAACGGACCACTTTAAAGAGACCGATTCAACTATTTCACTTAAGTATATTGCAAGTAGGTGTTAACAGAGATATGTACTTGTCGGTATAAAGAGCTCATTTGCGAAAAAAAGTAATTAAACAATTCCGACCAAACCCCTAAAGTCTTCTGCAATGCCGTTACAATATATTGATCGAAAAAAAAAGTTCTGATCAGAGGACTTACCAACTGCCACAACCAACACGGCACAGTTGAGAATCAAAAACGTCACGTTTACAAATAACGAATTGTTATCTCCATGCCCCTCATTCAAGGTGGGTCGTGAATAAACTGCACCAAGACAGATATTAAAGAATATTACCCAAAGCACAAATGTTTGTAGTCGATCTTCAAACTTGTCTTTCATCGGTCGAAAGATGGTGTATACAATTCCTGATGCACTTGCTGCGATCACAGCAAAGCCAATTTGAGAATCACTTTCGGAGTCGAACAGAAGAATGACTGAAATAAAGATCAGCTTCCGGTACATCTCAACTATCTCCCAGAACCAATACTTGTCCTTATAGTTTTCATAGAACACTTTCAAGCCAAAGTTAAACTGTTTGTGTTTTTGTGGGTATTTTCGACATTTCCAAAGGAGCGCCAGCAGCAGAATTGGGAAGGCGATGGGATACAATGCAAACCCAGCAGCGATGTGCCAAAAGTCAGTGTGTCGAGAGGTAGAACAGCGAATGGAATAGTCGGCCTTCAGTAGAGAAATACAATCGCTGTCATCATTTAAGAAACACTTCCTGACACACGCTCCTGGCAGGGGCAGAATGTTTATAATCTTCTTACTTGTTATTGGATAAGACAACAAGAGAAATAAAAAGATGTTTCGATAGCAAGACTTCTTCAGCTTTGAGATTTTTTCCCGTTTGGAATCCCCCGTTAAGCACGCCGAAGTACTCTCTAGCATGGAATTCTCAATTCCATACAAGGCATTTTCTGCTGTGGTATCCTCCATTCTTTCTAAGGTGTTTCCCGCTATAAAAGTGGAACTGTTTTCTTCTGTGGAATTCTCTATCCTGTTAAGGAGATGCATTTTAAAGAAGAGGTAAAGCAGTATTGAAGAGACAGCAAAGACGTTTATAGTAACAGCGAGGACAAATTGAATAAATGGGTCCAAGCGGAGCACAGGGTGAATGCAACTCAGAGGTGCGAACTGTAAAATATTTCCTTCAACAAACTCCAAGTATTTCGCCGTAGATAAAAGAACTATTGGCCACTGTACATGTAGCAAAGCTGAGAAAATACCAGCAAGAACTTGGTAGAATCCAATAACGATCTTAATGCAGGACATAAGGACATCTGCAACAAAACGATTGTCTCCTGCTCGTCTTGAGTCGCCCATGAAAACAATCACAAACAGCAGGACAAAGAACAAAAGTATCAGACCACAAGAAATGACTGTGACCACCAACTTGGGACATTTTAAACATCTGTTGAATCTAAGATAATGGTACGAGGAACATGCCGCACAGAGGGTACCCTGGTAGCCAGTGTTACACTTTGAGTTTATTCCGCCCTTACATGAGTCTGCATAAGGGCACTTCAGTGGCTTTGGCAACTGTCCTTCAAAAATGGAGAAGGTTTTATTGTATTTAGCTGTGGTAATATGAATGTTGTGGACGAAACTTAAGTAAAATTCCATTTTTTCGGAGCTGTTCCATTTCCAAAAGTAATTTGGTGCTAATATTGCCGTATCATCCTCACAGTTCATTCCATGATATGGACACGATTTGCAAGGACCAAAACGATTCAAGCGGTGGAATTTATGGAGGCATCGACATGCACGGTAACCAGCGGTTTCATTAGTTCTAGTACCTGTTTACAAACACAGAAATGTTATGTAAACACATAGCGACCAAAATTTCCCAACATGAAAGCCCTTTACTCTTCTGAGAGATCTTTCAGGGACCAGTTGTTCAATGGACGGATACGATAACACTATCAAACGGATAAATCGCTGTCCAGTGGATAAGTGTTCACAAAACGTACTGCGCTATCCACCAAATTGAGATTTATCCAGTCAAGAGCGCTATCCAGCCTTTGAACAACCAGGGCCAGATGGCAACTACCAGTGCTCTCCACAACATTGTAAACCTATGGTTGCATGGGAAGTGATACACATCAGAGACAGCACACCAAAATTTACCGACAGCACCTGGTCAACAATTTACGGTTAGCGACGGGTAGTCGTTTTTCCTCACCGCGCTCTGAAAATTAGCAATACAGGTGTCGAAACAAATGGCTTTTCCTAGCTTGGCTCCACGATCAGTAATGACTCTTAATCGCGAGAAAATGATTAATAATTAGTTTTTGTGTAAAATCATAATGAAAAACAAACACATTTTGCAAAGCATAAAATCATGGCAATCGGACAATAAGATGGTGAGTAAAACCACGTGATTGAACCAGATCCTTACCGTATGGGCATGCGCGACAGTCATTAGGACTTTTTCCAGGATGCTGTTCCTCAGGAACATAGGTACCCGTGCTGCAAATCTTGCATCCATATTGACCCATCTCATCTTGATAAAAGCCTCCTGAAACGAAAACATTTTCAGTTAATACGTGTTACTTTTATTTTGAGATCAATGAATAGGCAAAAAAGAAAAAAATGTGCGCAAGCCCTGTTCGCAAGCCTTATGCGCTGGTTTGCGGAAGGAATGAAGGAGCGGAGGAACGAAGGAGTGAATTTTGGTTCGGCGCAATTCTAACAAAATCTTAAAGGGACTGATCCTTGATTTTTTTATTAGGAGCATCTGAACGCATGGAACAACGCGTCTAGTTTTTCGTGAAAAACGGTAATGAAAAAAAAAAAACAATAGCATATTATAATCAAAAGACTTAAGTAATTACCTGCGGGACACTTTAAACAATTGGTGTGTGAGTCAACTGTCGGACAATAGGTACCCACCGAGCAAAAACTGCAGTTATAGCACCTGCGTAAAGGACCGTGCATGTATTTTCGGCACATAAAACCTACGAGTCCACTCATTACAAACCCAATTTCATCATTGCAGAGGACTACGTGGAAGGTAGCTGACGGAGCACATTCGCTAAAGAAAGAAACAAAAGACAGATTGACACCGTTATCACCTCTTTCAACAACCAATAAAGCGAAATAGGGTTTATCTTTAGCGCATGAGTCACCTTTAAGTGAATAACCCTTGTTTAGCGACAAGTTTGCATTTCTCAGAAGGCAGACGCTCTAAGTAGGAGTTCGACTATTCCACTAGATTAGCTTTTACTATTTGTATGACACCAACTCACTCGTTACTAACATTTTATGATAATTATTTATTTACTATTTACTTTGTATTAATTTCCCTCTACATATTTCTAATTTGAATTTGTTGAAAACTGAGCTGGGTGAATAAATTAAGTCAAGTATAATTGTATAAAGCTAACTCATTGCTCACCCATTTGTTTCTAAGCTTTTCATGACTACTCACATAAAAGGAAAAGTATACTTCCCTCGTGGAATCTTTCGAAGGTTTTTACATGAAACAGCCCTGCAAGATGAAGCACAATCTTTATCATACGGTTTTTTTTTTCAGTGATGGTAATGATATGGCCTGTAGCAACTAGAATTTGAATTTCTGTTAATTGTCAAGTAACTGCAAAATTATTTTATCACATAAACTGCGGTGTTATACAGGGATTTCCGGCCTTAAGAAAAGCCGTAACAACACACGTGAAAAAATATCGTATTTTTTCACGTGTGTTGATATAGCCAATCAGCTACTAACACGTCACTCGCCTTTAGCGCCACTCAGTCAGGTTGATGAATGAACGGCAAAGCCTTCACCCATTTTTCCATCTTAAGAGTTAGCGCCAACGTACTTTACGATTGTTATTCGGAGATTGTCGATTCATTTATTTTCATTCATTAATGAAGTCGGCTTTTCTTCTCAGTAAAGGGCTATTGTGTTTATACGATAAACAAAGTAATACATGGTTGCTTGTAGACATGTAATTTCTCTTCTCGTGTTCAACTCGAAGAGAGATTCCATATCTACGCGCGCCCATGTATTATTCTCTATTTATATTATTTCCTCTTTCAATTGAACTACTGTTGTATGTTATGCTGTATGTTATGTCTCTATTCAATTAAGTTCGCGTTTTTGCGTGAGGTTGTGTAAGAATTACGTAACCCCAGTAGCGTTGTATTTCTCGTCAGTATAAAGTTAGATAATTTTCATCGCTAGTTGATTTCAACTAAGTCAGTCGTTTCGTTACTTTTTGCTAGCGCCGTGTTACTTTTGTTTAAGAGTTTTACTATCGGACCTGGTTACGTCACAAATTGTAAGTTCGTTTCTATTTCAAGTAGCTTTGTCTATATTCTTGTAGTTGTTATATTTGTACTGAGATATTTGTATTAATTATTTATTTTTAGTCAAATCACATTCACATATTACACATCTACACATCTTTACTTTTAAATATTTGTCGATCTGGGAGTTAGATTAAACGTGCATTCAAGTTGTGGCGTAAAACATGTAGTATTTAGCTACAAGGTCATGCTTTCAAACCGAGAGAACCAGAGTTACAAAGGAAAGCAAGTTTTTCAGTCCTTGGCAGACTCAGTGGCCGGGTTATCGTGTTAAGTTATTGGGCAAAACATTTTACTCTCCCCATGCCTCTCTCCACCCAGGAGTGTAAATGAGTGACAGCCAATAGTCAGGGAAGCCTGATGAAATGCCGGGGATGTCATTGCGAAAGACTAGCATCTGGTCCCATCCAGGGGGGAGTGCCAATACTTCTAGTTGCTACATGCTAAGGAAACCGGGTTAAGCTTCGGCCAGGTGGATTACATGGCTCGAGTTCAGTCTCCAGACATGTGCTTTAAAACTGGAATGATACACATAAAACATGATCCAATTTAAGTGATGAGGTAACACTTGTACAATAAGCATCCGTGAATGCAAACAATTATCTTCAAATTGTTGATAATGTGCTCAAATCGTTGTGGCCAAAAACAACAAAAACAAAACAATCCATATAATCGTACGTCCTGCACATTTTAAAAACATTAAGCTACGCCGCTTAGTTTTTAAAATGTTCGATTCTGCTACTCTTTTGATTGAATGATACTTACAATGTAGCATTTGTATTAATTCCCATGAACATCTGTCTTGGAAGAAATTTTAGGGGATTGTCAAATAGTGTCCTATAAACGAATAAAAAAAGGCACATCTGACTTAAAAATCAATATTAAAAGTATTTTTAATCATTTGTTAATATCGTGTTCATAGTAAATACAGAGCACTTTGGTTATTGAATGAATAGTATTTTTTTAATAAAAGATCTGAGACACTACAAGGCTCATAAGTTATTGGTCAAACCCTATCTTTTGTTGGTCTTTATTGCACCGGTAAACCGATAGAAAATTGAAACATTGAAAAGTTATTTTGTAAAAGCGAAAGACTGCCCTCTCTATCAGTTTACCGTGTCGGAGGCGAGTAATCCACAAACTTTTCAAGTGTTCTTCCAACATCCTGTGTGGATCATTATTCCGGTAAAACCTGTAGAAAGTGCGGTCTATCACTTCATTTAATGATTGAGAAACACGAACTTCTTTGTTTTGTGAGAGATTTAATATGTGATCTTGTCTTGATCTCAAACCAACCAAAAGCTATGAAGAAAAACATCCTTTTAGATGTCGATTATGCATATTCTTGAATTAAAAGAGATTTTTGCTTATAACTTACATCGATTTAAGGTCACTGAGGCCTCGAAAACCGTTGCTACCAACATCTTTGATTCTGTTTCCGTGAAGGAACCTGTTTAAAGTGACAGTAAGATTGTTCGAGAAGGAGCACAACGGGTTAAGTTCTACTCAAGCCATACCGACTCAGGTTATACAATTTTCTTAATTATGGGGAGCCTCTGATTTTCAATTAAGAAAGAAGCTATAAAGTTTATGAGTTAATCATTTTTCATACGCTCAACGTTCGAGTGTTTCCCCGTATTATCCCTTTTTTCTTAAAAAATACCGTTTTGTGTGAAAATTAAAAAGGAGAACTCCAAAGTACTTACAAAATTTGTAACGGAGTGTCAGCAAAAGTGTTTTCAGGAATGAAAGCCAGACTGTTGTTTACGAGCGACCTAATGTTAAAAGAAGTAAAAGATTGTGGCACGATGATTATTAATAGTATATACATTATATACATATAGAGACTATATACATTATAAAGCAGAATGAATTGCTGGTAATCTCTTGCATGCGACGCCGATCCCTCACAGGTAATCACTCAGCATTTCCTTGGCTTCAATTGACAGTTTGAATTGGCGCCCGTTTGCAAGGAAAACTATGGACAGCAGATTGATCTTAATTGTATAAGTCATGATGCGTGACTTGATTAAACAGCTCAAACAAACTCCATTAATTAGCTTATTATGTAAATCTTCTTTATCATCGAGGAAAACAGGTTTAAAATGCCGAAGTACAAGAGGTTAGGTAAAAATGAGGGCCTTGAATTTCAAGTTCTTCCAGTGATGATTCTTTGTCGACGTGTGTGAGTGCTGTAATTGGCTATGGCGAGCCTTTGTGAAAAGAACAGGATATACATACAACATGCGCAGATTTTTGAGCCCAGTGAATGAGCGGCGGCTGATTTCTGAGATGTAATTGTAACTTAACGCCCTTCAGAGAAAAAGAAAACATAAAATGAATACATTAATTCGAGTTTATCGTTATTCGGTTTTATGTATCGTAAAGTGATCAGAATATCAGAATACTACGTTCAAGTTAGTTTAGTTTTTCTTTTCTTTTTTTTTCTTTTCAATCAAACACAGTAGAGCATAACATCAAAGAGAGAAGATGCAGAATGTGATCCGACATCACAAAATGGCATCTTGTTACTCACAACCGAACTAACTGCTTGCACCCAGAAAACGCATCATGTGGTATGAACTGGAGATTATTGAAGGACAAATCCCTGTGAAGAGAAACAGACAGACAGGCTGTGTAAAAGACTAATCATTATTTTCGCCGAGGGGAAAGGGTTTTTGAGATCACATGGTTTTCAGAGGAGAGGGGGGTTCATACGTCATCAAAAGAGTATAAGGGGGGACCGTATGATATTGACTACTAATTAATTACTAATCAGAGAGGGGATCATAAGAATGTTACAGAGTCTTATGGAGGATCAGTTACACAGAATCCTTCCTCTCCTCTCCCTCCTCCCCCCAGCTCGATAAATAATGACTGGCTTCTAAGCGATTTAATCTGGGGAAATAGATATAAGGGAAGATTCAGAATAATCTTTCATGAGGATTTCTTTACTTTTCTACTTGCATTGGGTAATTCGGACAGACTTACAAAGTGTATGCGACGGGTAACTTCTGAAAGATGTCGGTTGGTAGCTCTTTGATGTCATTATTTCCCAATAACCTGCACATTAGAACGTCAGGAAGTGAAGTTAATCTTCGTTGATTAAATTGTGTTTCTATTCTCGCACTGATATTTCTTAATTGCGGTGACTGTTGTAAACATCTTGATAAATAAGGATCACAGTAGATCGAAGAAAATGCTGCAATCTGATTGGCTGCGCTAACCAATCTCCACTTCGCGATGGATAGTGAGAATGGTGGGTAGCCTAAGAGGAGGATACAAAATATGAGTCTTTAAAAGTTTTAACGATCAAAAGGTTTTTATGTCTATAAAAAATTATAATTATATCATTCTCTCTCGATTTCTATGGTTTCGTTATCATAAACTAACACGCGATAGAAAGCTCTCTAACTAATAGTTAGAGAGGCTTTGACGACAAATTACAAACTGCTTTCTATTGCATCCTTTTCACCTGAACAGAATTTATACATATTGATTTTCTATTCTTATGAAGACTCGTTTTGCAAAGTAACAATAAATACAATCGATGCGCTGCGGAGAATAACAAGATATACAGAAAAAATATTTGCCTACAAGTCTCTCACGACTTTTGAGGTAGCGCTGTTGAGTCGTGATATGTCCTTGATTTTGTTACGTTGCATGTCTCTACAAAATATAAAGAAGGATGAATATTAGATTGAAGCAAATTAAAAGGCTCTCTTTTTCCTACAATGAATTCTCCGAGCCACCCCTTGAATATAAACGTCCAAGGAATGATCATTGAAGCGGAAGTTGACATCGCAAAAAAGCCACAGGCGCGCCACTGCGCAGGGTACTGGAGTTTTCATTAGGAAAATATCATTGGACTGAAAACAAAATAAAAGCGAGTGATCACGTGCTGAACATTGCCCTGAGTTTGCCTTGGGATGATTCCAGTTTTCATTGACCCTTCCTGTCGGAAAAGAACATTCAGTCCCTTTACCAGAATGAAATTTATGTGCTTCTGGAATGTCTACACATACAAGAGGGGATGGCACTTCACCAGTTAGTCTTGTTGTCGCATCAGCTTATAATAACTCATCGACCTTTGGGAAATAACTTAATCCCAAGGGTTACAAATTTAGTCTTACGTTGGAGGTAGCGGGGCAGAGCGGTTACGGCGCCGGACTTGTAGTCCGCTGGGCTCAATTCCTCCAACTATCTAGTCACTGTATTTGTTTTTGCTCGCCCTAAGTAAATATCCTTTGCTGCGCCTTTTATAAAGAGGCCAAATATAACCAACATATTTAATCCCTGCCAATTGGGTGATTTTGTTTCGCAATCTGTGTTCAATTGTAATATGTCCATATCGGCTCTAAGGAGCCGCATAATCTGGTACCCTGATCCTACCGTGTAACTGAAATGTAAGATCTTACAACCGCTTGGCCGTGATAGGCTTGGGTACGAGACTGGGAGCCGCATTGAAAGAATAGCTGATTAGGTAACTATTAAGATAAGTAAGGTGAAATGGTATGTGGTAATCAGTGAAAAGGACTAATTCACAGCGTCAATCACTTACAACTTAACCAAATTAGTGAGGCCAGTTAAATCTGGCACAGATGTTAACTTGTTGGTTTTCAGAAATCTGGAAAAGAAACAAAAAAATTGACTTCAAACAAACCATTACAGCTAGAGCTACAGCCACCATTACTACAACTGCTAACACCATTATTACGATTAGCCATGGAGAATAGTACATGGGCGCGCGTAGATATGGAATTTCGCTTCGAGTTGAACACGAATATATAATAAATGTTTAACACGTTTATCATATGAACATAATAGCCCTTTACCGACGAGAAAAGTCGACTTTGATTGAATGTAAACAAAAGGATCGACAATCCCCGAATAAAGTGCGATGGAGCACTCACTATGGAAACATGCGTTAGATCACTACAAAAACAACACGTAACTTTCGGTCTTTCTTTTCACATTTTGGTTTTCTCCCTCTTCTAGGAAAGTTTGAACGCCTCTGTGTGTAAGCGATACGGATTTTTCAGTGTTTTAGCAGCCATAATCCGAAAAAAATTCCGACAAACGAACTTGGATTGAGAATGGTGAAGGCTTTGCCGTTCATTCATCAACCTGACCGAGTGGCGCGAAAGGCGAGTTACGTATCAGCAGCTGATTGGCGATACCAAACACACGTGAAAAAACATACTGATTTACCTGATTCCCCCATAAGGCTCTGTAGTATTCTAATGACCCCCCCCTCACTATTTAGCTAGAAGGATCCCCCTCTGTTCTCCCTGAAAAGAGGGTCTCAACGGAGTCAACAGTTGGTCGTAAACATTTGTTAATCACGAGTATGATTACAGACAGAATTGGACGACACCAAGTCTTGTTACCAATTAATCAAAACTAGGACAAAATTTGAGAAAGAGAGGACATTGGTTATACGTTTTCATAAAAAAAAAAGTTACGGTGAATTAACTCGGCAAAATGCGAGACAACAACGCGCGCACATGACGCGTTCTGTCCACTTACACAGGCATGGCTTGTTAACTGTCCTATTACATTATCCAAATACAAGCATGACGCGCACGCTGTCCTATTCGTGCTCAAATCGCACCGGTGATAACTAATCACGTTCGAGAATTTTGTAATAGTTTTGATAAATAATGGTAATAGGACCGAGTGGAGTCCAATTAGGTCTGTAAGCATACGAGTGATTAACAAAATCGGACGATCGCGAAGCGGAAGTCCAATTTGTCAATCACTCGTATGATTACAGAACGAATTGAACGACAAGAAGTCCTGTTATCAATTAATCATAACCATTTAAATTTCTGAAAAAGCAAATACACCTTAAACAAATATCTCCAGTGGAGACAATGTTTTTAGTTAAAAATTCCTCCATTATGGAAATTCCCCAGTTTTTCTTTGGATAAGTGATTGTTGCTTTAGTTATTTTGATCATTTCTGTGATTGGTGGATTAGCTCAGTGGACTTAATATGATTGGCTGCTTCAACTGTCCGATTACAGCCAACTGTCCGATTACACTGTTCGATTACAACTGTGCAGAATGATTAGTGAAAAATGAAGCAGCGAATACACCAATAACATTTGAGGAATTTGTAATGATTGTTATTAACAATTTAACTGCAGAATCTAAATGGAGGCGGGAAAATACGATACAATGTTTACAAGGACAAAGAGCACTTACAAAGAAGAGAGGCTCTTGAAACGACTAAATGTTCCATCAAGAATCGTTGAAAGAGAATTGTTATGCAGATCCCTGTGAGAAATTAAAATAAGTCATTGAACCAGGAAAGTTACAAGTTTCACGTGGAAGGAAACTAAAACCTTTCTAAAAAAGGGTTCTTAATTAGAGAAAATGCTTTAGATAAATAACACATGCCGCCATTTTAGGTTTTATTGCCCCGTTAAAAGCCAAGCGAACTCAAACTTCGCTTCAAAAATGTTTCATCTTTTAGAGAAAATCTACGTTCGGTTTCTCGGATGATTTTAAGGCGGATTGCAGTCATTTTTTTAGAAGCTTCATCCCGCTCCTCTAAACATACACATCTCAGCTGCAGGAAGGGCTCAATTCGGACGGCCAGACCATTTCGCAATTTTCTTTACTTACAAAAACTTGAGTTTATCAGAAAGTCCTTTGAAGGTTTCTGGCTCCATACGAGACAACATGTTGGAAGCAAGGTCCCTGAAAGTTTAAGGTAGAATAATGACAACCTTTAAATTTTTCTCACAACTCATTAAACCCCATTCAATGGCTAAGGAGGGAAACCCTTTGTATATTATAAAATGGGTTGGAAAAAAATTAACTGTTGGATACTTACAGGTCAGCTAATTGCTCCATCGATTTAAAGGTTCCGCTCTCGATGTGCTTTAGTCCACATTTTCTCAAACATCTAGTGAGGTAATAAGTTCTTAAATGTGGTTAAGAAATAAAAATAGGAGTATATTACCGTTACATTCAAAGCACCCGTTTTTCAGGTCAAAGCATTGTTGATGATAACATGACCTTTTGATTGATTCCAACAGAAAAATGAAGATACAAGGTTAGCGAGAGATTAGGAACTCTTGTGATTAGTTACTTACAGAAAGATCATATTTTCACAGCCTTCAAAAGTGTCCACTGTCAAGTTAGGTCCGATTGGATTTCCAGCTATATCTCTGTGGCAATGGATACCAAAAATATATCAGCTTAATTCATGGCAAAGCATTGTGTTGCAGCCTTACATTTTCTGCTCAGAAACTCATATCTTGGGATACACATCTTATAGGTTAAATGAGGTATAAAGCAATGATGTGATACTTCAGCTAAAGAGCTCTCATTAGAGTAAAAATGTTATACCCTATCGATGAAATTGCTATGGTCGGAATCGTGAAATATTGAACATGTAATTAGGCATACTTACAAATTTTTGATTCTCTTAGAATGTTTCAAAATAAGTTTCAGGTCAATCAAAGATAGTCTATTAAAGCGTACTAAGCTGAAATTAAAAAAATATCCCGCAGTCGATATATTGAATTAATCTAGGAACGGCAGAATAGTGGTAACATTGATTTTGTTATGTTTAAAAACAAGACAACTAGTATTAGTTTTCGCATGATATCAAGAATTGTCAAACTTCGTGCCCGTGTTATCTATCTACCTCAGCCTTCGGCTTTAGCAGATAACCCAGACTTCGGCTTTGATAAGTAATGGTAATGGGACTGAGTGGAGTCCAATTCAATCTGAAATCATACAGATGATAACAAAATCGGAAGCGCAGCGGACGTCCGATCTATTTATCACGAGTATGATTAGAGACAGAGTTGGACGACATGAAGTCTTATCACCAATTAATCATCAAAATTACAATTTCTGAGAAAAGAAGAATATCCAATTTAGTTATGAAATAAAGGGAAAATTTGCATTAAAGAACTGACAAAGGAGGCCTAAATTGTTTCATTGTTTAATTGGTTGATTTAAACCACTACTTTGAATACGACTGGTTGATTTAATCTACATATCTGAAGGTGGTTGGCTTCTTGAACTGTCTGATAACAAATTATCCGATTAACAACTTGGCAAGTGAATTAGTGGAATATAGGAGTTTTTCAAGCTATCACAATCAATTATTCATCGTATCATTTTCAACCTCATCTGCTAATTGCTTGGTAGTAGTCAAAACAGCCTGAGAAACTCAAAAGGCTAATACTTACACTATTGCCGAGTTTTTTGGAAGATAAAATCCACCTTGGATAAAGTTGTTGTTGATATTTCTGTGAGGGTAAAATAAAATATTTTCACCGCTCTAACGCCTGCTCATTTATAAAGGGAGAAAGGTTACGCGCAACAGCCATTTAAGCCAGATCATTAGCTTAATAACAAGAAAAAAGGTCAAGAGACTATGAATTGTTTATATTGTCTTGACTAAGTCGGTTTTGTTGCACAAAATGTTATCTTATTGAATTGTAGACTAAACACGCTAAACTGAACCTAGGTTAGTGAGATATACCTTAAGCCCATTTACAGAGAGTGTCTTGAGCCCAAACCCAAATTAAAGTAATCCTGACTACAGCCAATCAAAACAAAGATACACACCACATGGAAGCCATTCAAAACTCAAAGCACAGACATTTTACGACATCAAGCGAGGGAAAACGCGAGTGATTTGAAACGACTGGTTTTTAATTGCATTTGACTGCATCTAGAGAGAGGTGTAAGGTAGAGAGGCAAAAATAGCGCTATTCTGAATTACTTTAGATATGGAAATTCAAGTACACGCAGCTCCTTTGCATTTGCTTCCTTGATTTCTCCTCTCATTAAAGTATTTTTCTCAAAAAAGAAATTCTCTACTTGCATTGTCTCAAGCAGCGTCAAATTTCGAAAGGTGTTCTTTGGAACTGACCTCAAATCGTTCCACGAAAGATCTCTGTTATGGCAAAAAAATTGTAGACACATGAGCAATCAATGGGAAAGAAATATAAAAGAAGTGTACATATCAGCAAGCGGGAATTTTTTAGTTGATTCTCAATTGGAAGTTGACAATCAAATAAATATTTCATTTGCCCGCCGAAGCAGCTTGTTCAATGTTCAGTCGCTTAGTAAAAAAACCAAAACCAAAACGTAAAACGTGAAACCAAACCAAGCTTTCCCTAAGGGAAAAACAAAAAGAAGGAAAATTTTAAGTTCAGGATCGTCTAATTCTCAGAGGCGAAACAAAGTTCAGATGAAGCATTTGGAAGTTTGAAGATCGTCTAGGACGATTAACGACTGGGTTCAGGAAAGACCAGTAAAACTTTAACGTCGCACACCGCCTTTACTCTTGAAAAAATCTCTCCCCCAACTACTAATAATTTGATCATTTATGAAGTTATTTAGCTCATTTGAAAAAGGCAAAAAAGACAATTTTCCGGGCTCGTCTTAGAGATGTAGTGTTTCGTTTTCCCCACTTCAATCACTAGGGATAGTCCACACGTGGATTCATTTCTATCATACATATTCAGAAAATAGAGAATCCCAGCTAGATCACGTACAGTAAAAACCGAATTAATACAACGTTCCTCTTTTCATACCAAATACATTTTTGAGATAAAGGGCGGAGAGCATCATGAACAGAAATTTTCAACTTACACATTCTTGAGCAACGTCAGGTTTGTGAAAGCATCCTCTTTGATAGACGTCAGATGATTACCTGAAAGATTCCTAAAAAAATAGCATATACATATGTGATTTTACCTAATCATTTTTACCACTTATGTACCGGCAACGGCTAGACGCATCATCTTATCGAAGAAGAAACTCTGGTTATATTGCAACAATTCGCACTAAATTTCTTTAAGCGTTCTGGCTTATTTTTCCGCCGAGTGAGACAGTATGGTCATCAGTCTCGATTTACCTATTTCGGAGCTTATTTTAGAGATAAAGGGTATCCCAGACCAGAGTTTTTTGTGGCTTCAGTCAGTTAGGATGGTCCATACATTTATAACTATCAGTAGAAAAATATCGTCAGTAGAAATTGGAGAATACTATCCACTGTCTCTTTTTATAATGGTAGAGTTACTGTGGACAAAATAAAATGATTGGATTCAGTAGACTTTGACCTGTTCTTAAAAAGCCTTTGAGTTTCTAAAGACCTATTTTTTATTTTTGCCGCATTAACCGTTCACCTTGGGAAGATAACTTATCATGGAATTTTTTCAGGCTGTTATTTGATATGCACGAGTCGTCAGAGTCAGGTTTTACAATATGTTGACAATTGTAGCAAATGTGCTACCTTAAAACATTAAAATTGTGGCGATCTTTCCTCATCCAATTAAAGGAAGAGTGATTTTAATATAAGGATAACTCTTCTGGAGGACCAAGTTCTTATTCTACTCACAATATCACTGTATTCGATGGCAAATCATCAGGCACCCGTGTAATTCCAGAGCACTTCACAACAGTTCGACTATCGCCAAAAGGTGTACAAGTACAAGTCCCTGGATGAACGTCTTCTAAACAACACAATCCTAAAGCTGCGGATGACAGCACAATTAAAAACTGTATCACAGGCAGACATGCCGAAGGTCGGACCTCAGAAACTTTACCCATCTATGAAAAGAAAGTAAATACATGCATTGAGGTTTCGTAAGCCCGCACATGCCTGAGTGAGAGTGATGCTAGCGCTAGCTCAACCAAGAAGGATATGCCTTGGATTTATATAAAAAGGAAAAAACCAAAGTTGAAAAAGTAGCGCGGGAGCAAGGTCATTGTCTGGAGAGTTGAGTTTTTGTTTAGAGAGCGATTTTTCATATTTATTCTTTGCTTGACTATGGGCGTCTGTCTTCCTCAGAAATGTTGTAAAAACATCGCTTTTAACTGTAAATCATACATTTATGAATTTCCAAATGGAATTTAAATTTTCCATTTTATATAAAAGCTTCTCTTCACCTCTAAATTTGACTCGTAACTCAATTATGCTTAAGCTTTAAAGAAATTTTAAAACAAAATGAATCAGTCACAAAATCATTACGTATCAAACACCACCGTCGGCTGAATGATTTTAAGTCAAAACCCGCTGAATGGATATCAGGATTTCTTTGCAATATGCTTGAACAAACCTCAGTGTGGCTTTTATCGAGCTTCCGTGACGACCAACCTCTGCGAATTTCTTTTTCCTTCTACACCCTGATATTCAGTTTAAATTGTAAACTACTTTTTCCTTATTCCCATCCTTTTATGATGATTTTTACTGACCCCATCAGACATAGGTTCGATATAGAAACAGATGGCACTGACAGAAACTGATACTTTATATCAATTGCTAGTGCTAATGAAACATCATCCAATGTCAGCAGCTATAATCAAGAATAGGCCTGACAATTTTTTTTCCTTGAAAGTTCTTTTTTAAATGTTTGGATGAAAGCATTCCTTGTCTAAAATCCTGTTCTATTAGACTTTTTCGTTGTTCAGTTTTCAGTCGCCATTAACCTAGCTATATAGATACATCCTTCACTTGCGAGAAATCCTGAACTCAGGCAATATTATCTTATGAATTTCATCGCTAATTACGAGAGGTTGTTAATTACTTTCAGAACTTTAAGAATAATGAATGCAGTTTGCCTTTCATAACTAGCATCAGCTCACTAATAGTAGTTTTCAGAACGAAGTTGAACACTTGTATCCAATGCAAAACATAACGGAATTAAGTTGATCCGAAACAAATATGTATTAAAAAGCGAAACCGGGAGTTCAAACAAATTTCGAACAAAGTTTAATTAACCTGTATTTTGATGGTTCGTCATTTATATTGCAGCCGCTAAGATAGATCAGGCTTGTCACGAAAAACTCTGTTATCGACAAGAAATCAACTATTGACGTGAAATCTTAAAAAATCAAAGGACTTTCGTTTCGATTCACAACTTTCGCGAAACTTCTGAACTGATGGGGGATGCTACTAAAATTAGATTTCTTTAAATCGTTTAATGAACCAATTCAAAAAAATATATTTGTAAAAGATTGCCTTGAAAGTGGTATAATTTTACTGGTAACTTCAGTTTGTACCCTGAAATGACACCGACGCTTGAGAATTTAAGAAAGGTATTCAAACTCATAACCTGGCTCATTTCCATGATCACTCGAAAGTCACACTGTTAGCTATCAATCTATCAAATAATTCAAAAGATCATTTACGTGTATCGAAACCTCCTAATCAAAAGAAGCAAGAAATATATTAGAGCTAGTTGAAAAGAAGTCCTCCTCATCAGATTTGCGGAGCTGTCCAAGGTAAGCAATCAACAGAATCTTAAACGTCGGAAATTGACAAGCAATAATTTACCTTCACTGAGTTATGTAAGTCAGCCAAGAAAACATGATGGACTCTCAGACTTCGTTTTATGCTACTCTGGTTTAAAGATTTAATGAATGTAACCGAAGAAGTTACAATTCATAGACCCAACGTTTCGACACTCCTTGCTAGTGCCTTCATCAGGGGTGATCTAAACGCTGCAACAAGAGGTCCTTTTATACGATCACTAATTAGCTGCCTTTTTTTCTAACGAGGTGTAAATAGGCGTCAGCAAGTAAGCCGCCATCATCACGATTTAAGGGAGCGTATGCGGAGTTTATATGCCAAGCTTCCAAACAAACGGCGCTGGTGGTAACGCTGATTAGTGGTGACAATTTTAGACTTATCCCACCCATTTGTATGGTTAGTTAGGCATGTGTGCTCCGATAAAGCTTAATTTTCTTTTTTGCAAAAGAAAACCGCTTTTTGGTGCTCTTTCAAACGTGTACCAAACTGACATTTGGTTCTGTGTTCCCTCATGTTCTTACGAGTTAGCAAAAGAGAAAATGCTTGGAATTTAGTCGAATGCTTTAATAAGAGAACAACACGCTAGGGAATGGGAACTTAGAGTTCATTACTGCATATTAAATCTGTGCCCCGGTACTCACAGGCGCCGGTCATGTTAAAATCTAGGCAATGACCTCGTACGATTTTCATTCATAATTTACTTGAAAATTTCATGTGTATTTGAAATATTCTATTAAAAAAGCATTCAAAAAGCAGTTGAAAAGGGCAGTGATGCCTGTCACAAAATGGTTCTTCGTATTTTCGACCTATTCTTTAAGACTGCACGTAAAAACCTTGCTCTTTAGCCTGCGCTTAAGAGCATCGATGGCGCTTTTTGACCGAAGACGAACAAACCCAAGCTTAGAACACATAGCTCCCACAAGGCGAATAAGTAATCAATCGCTCGAGGCAAATAAATATACGCTTAAAAAAAGACAATCAACTGACCTAAGGGGCCATTATATTCCAAAAGTTATAGAGCAACGTGTTAGTTTCGCATCAGCTCTTTCCAGTGACGCTATCGTTTTTTGTCACGGCTGACACCGACAGAGGAGTTGTCGAGGGTTCGCCTTCTGCTCAAGAGAATCATTTTAATATCAAGAAATATAATTTTCTTCACTTAGCCGGCCGTGTATGTAAGGCCGTGACCACGGTAACAGTACACCTAAAGGTAAAACGGCAGAAACCTACCCCTTCAATCCTAGAGGCAGTCTGCAACTGATTTATATTTTACTGATTATTATATATTTCAGGTCTATGATCTGTGGATATCTTTTCGACCGATGGCTTCCAAAATTCCATATCAGGCTGTTATAATCGTCTGGTTCTGCTGTGTTATGCTATCTACTTGCTTAAAAGTCAACTATGTGAGATACTGTGGTAAGACCAAAATTATTTTACTCGTTTGTGCCCAAAGAAAAGCGCAAATGTGACCTTTGTTATATCGTTTCGCGGACAGAATAGTGAAACTGCATGTTATATTTCGGAAGGTGTTTAGCCATTTAAAAATTGATGGGGTAGCACAAGAAAACTTGGTTTTATCAAATGAGTTGATAATGTGAATTGGACACCACAGAGCCGGATGGTAAAGCTGACATCTCGAGCTTTGAAATCACAAAAAGTTAATTTCTAACTCCTTGGCTATTCCATTCCGTTACAGGTCCGCCAGATAAAACGTTCGCGTTTAAAATTACCCCATGGCCAGTGATAAAACCTGGTGGTGTTCTCAATCTAAGTTTCAAGCTCACTCCTTGTAAGTTTTAAACTTTATTCTCAGCCCAGCTGTTTCAAAAAGTGGTATCTGTACAATTTCCTAATCATGTAGCTGTACTTCAGTAAGGTATTTCCCACATACCTCGAGCCTGAAGAAGTCCTCCAGTATTTCCGCAGTGTTCATTCACGAGTATCTGTTAGGAAAAACCCTCAGGTTTCCGTAAATTACCGAATTACCTGAAATATTCTAAGCTTACGTATGCATCCTGTCGATTTTTAATGTCAACATTGATTCCCTCCTGCAGGCATCTCCTGCATGCGAATTTAAACCAATGATGTCAGTTAAATGTGATTCATTTTTTAATCATCTTAAATATTTTACGTGCAATACATGCAACTTTATTTCTGATTACGCTGTATTTTTCTAAAGCTGTAGACGTTTTTTATTCAACAATCCGTGCTCGCATTACCTCGAAGAAAGACCACCAAGTGTTGGTTGATCGTGTGATGAATTTAGGATGCAAGCGCACCAAACTACTTTGCAACCTGGCGGCAGGAGGTTTGTGTGTAAAATCGAAATTCCTTAGAATGGTTTTTTTCTTCTAAAAGTTGCCAAGATTGTCTCCTTTTTGCTGAAGATAAATAATTGGAATTCTGCCACCTTAGATATTTCAGTTCTAGATTCGTTTCATCTTTAGACTGTTTACGATGTGAAGTGACGCTTTGCAATGATGTTCTAAGAGAATCACTAGTTAAAAACTCGTACAAATATACAAGATACACCCCTAGTGAACACAGTGGTCAAAACTAGGGCATGCTCGAGGGATCAAATCTGGCCGGCTGGGCACCGAATTTCCCGCGCAAAAATTCTAAGGAAAAAATAAAAAAAGACAACCACTGTCTCACAAAATAAGCAGAAGGAAATTGAAATGTTCACAAGAATCTGTAAAAGGAAGCAAAGAAAGGGGAAAGAAAAACTCGAGACTTCGAACACTAAGCTTACTCAAGTACGGGCATCCTCAGTGTCGATTTAACACACTGTTTTGAGCTTTACCAAAACCTTGCACGCGTCTAAAACACCATAACTTAATGGCTTGTGTGCTTATTTATAACTTCTGTGAGACAGCTTGGCTCCGACAGCCTGAAAAGACGCCACCTAGTCATAACAACGCTTGCACACGCTTGACATAGGGCAGACGCTTGAACGCTGTGTTTGCCCACTACCACTAAAAGCCTTCCAAAGGTGTTGAGTGTATTTGGCAGCTTTATAACCTGACCCTCCATCTTCGTCAAGTCTCCGTGCGGGCCAAAGTTTGATTCACACCCACTAATCTAATCTCGGTTTCTTATGCAATCCTATGAGTAATTTAATGACTTACTTAAGACGGCAACGTTAGGTGAGCAAGGAGGAGTTTTGAAGTCAACTAAAAATTGAGGAGCTTTATATGTTTTCCCAGAAACCTTAACCAAGTCAGTCAATGGAATACGCGTGGGGAATTTTCCACCTGGCCTAAAGGTATTTCAAAATACAATCACTATCAGTCAT